AGAAAGGATGACTGTAGTTATTTGTTGCAATGAAGATGGCTCTGAAAAAATCCCTCTATGGATTATTGGGAAATATGCAAAGTCTTGTTGCTTCAAGAATGTCAACATGAATAGCTTGGATTGTCGATATCGAGCTAACAAAAAAGAATGGATGACTAGTGTGCTTTTTGATGAATATGTTCGTTCATTTGACCAAATGATGCATGGTAGAAAAGTTCTACTTGTGGTGAATAATTGTCCAGCACATCCAAGAAATATTGAAGGGCTAAGAAACATTGAGTTGTTCTTCTTGCCACCCAACATGACATCAAAGATTCAATCTTGCGATGCTGGGATAATAAGAGCTTTCAAGATGCATTACCGTAGAAGGTTTCACCGTAAAATATTGGAAGGTTATGAGGTGGGACAATCTGATCCAGGGAAGATAAATATCCTTGATGCTATCAATTTGGCAGTCCCGGCTTGGATGATAGATGTTCGAAAAGATACAATAGTGAATTGCTTCCGACACTGTAAAATCTGATCAGCTAGTGACGTTGCAAGAAATTTGAATGAATCCACTTTTGATAAAGAAACTCAAGACCTCGAGACTATGATCAATCAATGTGGCTATCGTAATAAGATGGATATCGACAATCTAATGAACTACCCAAGTGAAAATGAAGCATGTTCGGAGGTTCAGAGCTTAGAAGATATTGTGGGTACTATCATTGAGAATAATGCAGAGGATGACGGTGAAGATGATACGGTGTCTTTAGAGCCTGTTACGCGAAAGTAAGCACTTATGGCGTCGAACACTCTTCACAACTTTATGATACAATACAAAAATATAACACCTAAGTTATTAGATGCAATAAGAAAAGTTAGAGATGAGCTCCAAATAGACTTGAACTTTAAAGGAAAACAGACAACTATTGAATCATATTTTAATAGTGTAATATATTTTTTCAGTTTCTATGAATTATTAATTCATGATTTTCTTGGGACCGAAAATTATAAAGGGATCTCCCAAAAAATTATTATCTTATTATTTTATCGAGTTTTTCAATTTTTTACATTGGCCCAAGTCGGGACCGGACAAATTTATTATTTTAGAGAGTTTATTAATTTACCGAGTATTAATTTAAAGAGTTTCTACTATAGATGATAAGATAACCTCAACATCAACGAGCTTATCTAGACTGAAAGGAGAAGCGGAGAGAACTGGGCACTCTCTAATGTAAGGGGGTTTCAAGTTCAAGCAGCGGAACTTTAGCGGGGCCTCGCCGATTGATAAGAAAAATATTGTTAAACAAACTTGTGTGGCCTTTATTCCAATCCCTTCTAGGGAACTTTCAAAGAAGTTTTAGTTAAAGATACAGTAAGCGTTGTAGTAAGCCAATAAGTCACTCCCAGTAGATAGAGTCAAGGAAGGGTATAGGTAAGACAAGTTAAAACCAGTGAGTCATTCCCTCGCCTTGTATCTGTAAGCCATTAGGTGTACCTCCTAGAGAACGGGTCAGAAGGAAAAAAGTAAGAAGTAGTGTCAATCGACAGATTTCCCTCTGGCGTGAAAGACGGAGCGCGGAAATTACTTGATTCGTTCGAGCGACGACCACTAACAAAGAGTCTCTTTCAGTTAGTAACTGAGGTAAATCACATCACATTGAGTCTACTACGAGATCAGGATTAGGAAAGAAAAACCTTGCTTTTGGTAGATTGCTTACTACTAGACTAGGTTGGATCTACTTCGCATTCTCATCTATAGAGAATAGGAGAAGCATTCAAGTTCTCTCTTTTCTGCCCTAGAAAAATCTCGCGTGAGTGAAGAAATCGTAACCTATATATACTACTGATATCTCTCGTCAAACTTCAATAGAAATCGATTCTATGATTGACTTAGATTTAGATTCCCTGACCTGCTCTGAAAGAACTCTCCTTTTTGGGTGTATATTATAGGTTTTGACTTGGCAACTATCGAAAATCCGCTCCAAATTCTTCTATTGAACAAAGACAACGATCATCTTTAGGGCCCGTGATAAAGAAGAGAGAGGCTTAAAAGTTAATTGCTACTAGATTACCACCTCGCCTATGATATATAATTTTTTCTCTGTGTGGCTATAGTAAGAAAGAATTCCTATGTGTCTGCAGCAGCTAATGAATGTGATGGATGGCAATTATTCTGTTTTGTTGTAATGCTATATAATTGCTTTAAACGAGTCCTTAACTTAAAGGGAATAGGAATAAACAATTGGTTTTCTTCTCCTAGTGCAATCAGTTCTTGCACAAGACAATCTTGATTCAATTCCCAAAAACTTGAGACCAGTTGTTTATCAGGACATGTCCCTGAGACTAAGGTGAGCACCAAACTTCCTTCCTGGACTAGATTAATGACACGTTCTAGTGGCCTAAGCTCCAACCAAGTTATGGGCCCCTACCATCGGCTGAAAGTACCCCGAGCTAGGTGTGTATGATAAGTAAGTAATGTCGAGTTTCAAGTGGATACATCTCTTTGCCATTAGAGCACTCTTGTGGAAGAGATTGTTTGAAGAATGCCAGGTCGTAGAAGATACAACTGGTCTTATATTGATATTGATCTTTTATGAATTGATCTTGGTTGTTCTAGTAGGTGCATACTTTTTATATTGTTTTTGTTCCTTTCATTTTTATTATTGGGTGTCTTGAACAGTTTACACTTTTGAAGTAAAAGGCTTTAAACTATCTTCTTGGATGAAGACTATTGAGAGTTGAAACATGATGAACTATCACTAGTCAAGATTAGGAGTACAATGGGAACCTTGGTATTATGATTTCTACAATTACCTCAAGGACGAGTTTATATCGGAGTACGCCACTCGTGTCAAAGGAGAGCCTGGATGAAAACTTACTCGACAATTTGTGATCTTGGGAGATGTCCTTTACAAAAGGTCCTTCAAGGGGTACTCGCCCTTCCTTATACTTAATAGGAAGAAGGAGCGCACATTGTTGAACAAGCTCATTCAAGAGGCAAGGTCGCCCTATAAAAAGCATACCTTCGAAGGCATGATCGTTGCGATCAAGAGTTGCTTAACATAATTGAGAACAAGAGATCAGAAGATTTTCTGGTTCCATCTACCATTCTTGACAATCCATCTTATCTTTAAAAGTAACATAAGTTAAGGTTCTACTTTTGCTCCATTAGAATGCATGATAGTGGTCTGGGCCGGCGACAGAAGCTCGGGACGGAAATGTATGATGTGGAAGTCTCATGGACGGTTCCCTGAGAAAGGAGTGGCTACCTATGGAGCTTCGACTAACCACCTTCGATAAATTCTACTTTGGGGCCACCCCTTACTCTACCATTATTATAGGGGTATGGGATTCGAGACAAAAAAAGATCAAGGCAACATATCAGTTTTCCTTTATATTTTACTTGGATGTGTTTTTATGCTATTAGTTATTTTGTTGATTCTTTTCCAAACAGGCATCCGCCGATTTACAAATATCATTAACCACAAAATTTAGTATGTGGCGCTAAATCTTTATATGGATTGCTTCTTTTGCCGCTTTCGAACCAGGTCTTGAAACCTTATCTGTCTACTTGCTTTCAGTTTTGTTCTTGTCTCGATCTTAGCTTAAAGCTCTCGACCTAATTTATTCTTGCGCAAACCAAGTTCACTGCCTTAATTTAGGAATGAAAACAACATATATGTCTACTTGCTTTCAGTTATGTTCTCGTCTCGATCTTAGCTTAAAGCTGCCAACCTATTCTATTTTTGCGCAAACCAAGTTCACTGCCTTAATTTAGGTTCTAGCTTGCACATGTAGGATCCCCCTTCGTCTTTCGTTTCTCCCAGCTATAGCACGAGAGAAACGCGAACAACTGATTCTCAAGCAGGGGATTCGTGAAAACAACATGTTTGTCTACTTGCTTTCAATTCTGTTCTCGTCTCGATCTTAGCTTAAAGCTTTCAATCTATTATATTCTTACACAAATCAAATCTCACGGCAGACAATATATGCCCTAAACATATCCTTATAAGTTAGGACAACCTAAATCCTACAAAATTATTTTATATGAATGAGTTAAGAGTCAATCAGTAAAAAAAGATAACACCAGCATATTATTCCACTCTTTTTTATTACTGCAATATTCTACTTTTAAGATGTCACACAAATAACTATTCAAAAGGTAATACTTATTAAGATATTTATTCAACTTTAGAAAACAAAATTTGTAGATATTTATTTTTATGGTATAAAGTAGGTAATCCCTCTAGCCGTGTAGGATCGACCTCTGGTAAAGCTAGAAGAGACCTCTATCATCTCATTCAAGTTTTCTAGTGTATATGTAGATATTTATTTGATTATGAAGTTGATTATGAAGTGTTTAAAGTGTGATAAGGTACATCAATAATTTGAACATTTTTTGGAAAAAAAATCTGGAACCACTCTCCATTTGTGCAGCACTTCTAAATTATGCGTAAGAGAAGAGAACTAAGAACATACTTTTTAACATGTTTTTCAACACACTATTTTATTGATTGAAATCTAAATGGATCCCATCACATTACACAAATTTCATATTAAAATGATGTATTAAAAAGTATGTTACAGAATGGTGTTGCTAACATTATTTAGCAATTATACTGTGTTTCTATTCTCATTTTACTTTCTTTTTTTCTATTTACTGGTTCCAAACATGACCCATGTTGATTTGTAGAGAAAATTGCTTAGTCAAAATCCACTTGATAGTTATAAACTAAAATGTTTCATTTTAGAGAAAAAATACTTATAACAATTGATTAAAAAAGTTATCCAGTTTTAAGTAACTTAATAATGTGTTTACATATATCATCATAATCTCAACTTATATTTTCAATGAAATACTATAATTTTTCTGTTCATTGTTCTCTCTAAATATAACTTCTTAGTATAAAGGAACTAATCCTTTAATTAAATATAACAAAAATATGGTGTTAAATGATAAAGGTATAGAACAAACATTTCTTATGCCTCAGGAATCCTAAGCTGAAAAGCCTTTATTGTTCTCCCAGAGCAGCAGCTATCTTCTTCTGAAGGAGCTCCACGCCTAAACGAGGAGACAAACGCGGTAAAGTTTCCTGGAAAACAGAACAATGTCAACATAAGAGACCGAGCCTTTTATTTTTCAACACTTATCAGGTGGCCATGATATAAGATAATCCCAGCAATATGATATGAGCATCATAAACTTGAATCTGGATTATAAAATAGTCATCGATCAGCCAAATGGGGTAACACACATCTCAAGCTGCAAAAAATATATTGAGCTGCAAGCAAGTTGTGCGTATCAACACATAATAGGTGTCAAGAAACTAAACTGGGACTCTGGGAGAATAGACCAGAATCGAACATTCTGGACACCAAAACCAGAAAACGAATAGGAATATCAAATTTCTAATGATCTGGTTTGGTCCATACTCCATAAGCTACTCCTACATACATATGGCTGAATAATTTCAAAGCACCTTGAAAGGAGAACGGACAAAATATATATGGTACTTGGCCAGTATTTAATTCAGTCCAACCAGTTTATGCACTTGGGCCAGCGCCATGCATTATGGTCCAGGTTCAACTAGAATACTATTCAGACTTGTCTGAAAAAATGACCACCAGATCATAGGTTCTCTTTTGACAAAACGCAGAGAGATTTGTGTATGATGGATCTTTCTGAAAAATATGTTGCTTGGATTGACATAAGGCACGTAGAAATCTCTATTTACTTTGGCCCATCTAACCCAATGCAAACAGACATGAATCACAATAATACATAAATCATCAGAGTTATAGAAGTCCTTGAAAATTTCTCATCAGTGACAGTGCCTATGGGTAATCCTTAAGTCATAATGTTTCTCACTGAAAATTTAGAGGAAACCATTCAATGGATAGATGATGCAGATTGCAAAATGAGTGACATAAATGACTAGGTTTCATTCGGTTTCAATCAAAAGCCCCTGAGAATACGAGATTTCAAAATAAATTATGCCATTATGCCATTGTTGTGGCATGCTATAAAATAGAGGGAAATGAGAAATAACCTAAGATTTCTTAATTTCAAACCCAGGGTGAATAAAATAAGACGTGGGCTTTATCTATAAGGATTCTAAGGAACCACTAGTTCAAAATAAATTATGCCAATATTGAAGGCTCAGAGTCATACTGTTTCCTTGCCTTTCCTTGCCTGTTTCACTTAGTCCAGTTATTATTACACATGTGGCATAGTCAACATTTAAAAATAGCATTAACAAACCAGTTTCAAAAGTCAAAATGTAGGCCAAAATTAACCATTTCTCGTCATGCTCTGGACCTCTGGCAAAAAAAAAGGCATTTCCATTAGTCCTTAACCAAGCACTCAGTTTGACCCTTCTCTTTTGTCTTTGTAGCATTTGCAGAGCCTTAGCCTCGTGCATAGTCGGTGTGTTCGCCGGTCAGTTAACAAAGCCAATTTTAAAGACAATACTCTAGATTCTAGATAACAAAGGGTTTAAGTTCTGGGATTAAACAGATGGTAGAACCCCCCAAACTGAATCAGGTAAATATGTATATTATTCAATACAAAAAAGATGAGCTCAAGAGCTCTACAAGGTGGAAACAGAAACTATCCAGAGCATATGTCTCCTATCAGAGAGAAACTCTGGACAAACTTTCTAACAAGCAATCACCCTTACTCCTCTTTCCTATCCCCCATATAACCGTCCCCCTTCTACAGAATGGAAACATACTGCCACATCACTACAAATTCCCTATTCAGCCCTTCTATTGGGCTAAGGCCCAAATCCAGGATCCTATCAACAAACAGCCCTTCCTGGTTTCGTATCTTGTCTATTTCTCATTACTTGTCTTCTGACATCAATTTTAAGGGTTCAAGAAATGAGAAACTTAAGTGAGTTACAGACTCTTTTTTAACATTGTCAAATTTTTTACTTGATACATTTGAAACTTAGAGTTTGTATGAGTAAGGAATTATGCATTAAGCATAAGTTTGGAGCTCTCAAATTGATTTTGGATGTGTAGAATTGATTTTGACATGTTTGGTTGCTCTCGAGTAGAATTGATTATGCTTTTTAAAATTGATTCTAATTGAATCTAGGATTTTTAGCTTTCAAGTCTAAACACAATTTTTAGACTAAAATTTATTGTTCAATTCACTTTTACATAAATTTATCCAAACATAAACCATGTCACCTTCATCTTACTTTTAACCATGATCAATTCTTCAAAATCAATTTTCTTCACGGCATAAACAATATTAGTCTAAACTTAATTAAGCTCACTATTTCTATAACTAAAGATAAAATAAAGTTAGCTTGTTTTCATATAAGCTGTAGCTTAATAAACTCAAAACAGCTTACTTACATGTCATAAGCTACCAAACATTAACACAAAGATTTATGCAAATAAGAACATAAGAAGAAAGAATAATAGGAGCAATATGAAGTAATGAGTAAAATAACAAACCTCGGTGCCATCAGAAAGAACTTTAGCCAACACAGGTATCTCATATTGATAAGCTTTGTCCCATTCCGGATTGGTAGTTATATCTCTTATCTGATAAAAACACATACTCAAATCAAAATCTTCAAATTCAAACTCACATGCAAAAAGTATGACAGAGAGAGAGAGAGAGAGAGAGGTGCCTGTAAATCGACGTCGCTAAGGGAATGAGGACCGGAGAGCAAGAATGCAGCTTGGAGCTTCTCTTTGAGACCATCGCACAAACAGCAACCGGGTTTTGAGTAAAGGACCAGTTTTCTAGAGGAAGGTGAAGATGAACTACAAAGAGGTTTGAATTTTAGAAGCCTCTGAGAATTTCCGCCTCCGGGTAACACCGTGGAGGTTCTTGCTACTGCTAACACTGCCACCGCACGCGCCACCGTCGCCATTCTTCTCTGTCTCAGGGACACTAATCATCGCATACCCCCAATCCGAATGCGTTAATTAAAAATTAAAAAATTCAACCCAAAATCTCTTCAATGGGCCTGGAAATATGCTCATCTCTCTAGCCCAATTAATTATTTTGCCAAATTCTATTCTCACCTCCACATTTTCGAAATATGATTCAAAAAAAATGTAATTTGATAACTTGAAACAAACAAACCTAAGATAATTAAATAAAAAAGAGCGGAATAAATAAAATATTATATTCTATTATTTGGATTTAAGATATTTTATTCTATTATTTGGATTTTTTGAAACATAACTAATTAATTCATTTTGTTTCATACCCCTAAATTGGATGAAATAAAAATTAAATAATTGGGTGAAAGATAAAATAGATTCTACCATATTTTCATTTTGCTACTCTATTATTTATAAATCCAAACAATAAAATATGACAATTTATCACTCTATTCCATTCAATTCCATGAGATACTAACTATCCAAATATTTAATCTATTATTTGAGTATGATTTTAGTTAGAGTTTTTAGTAAACAAATATAAATTATTATTAAAATATAATGAGTTATAGTTATTTGTAAAACTCTTTCAATAAAAATAATTGCAACAAACATATTCAACTTTCATTGCATTTTCAAGCGACATGATGAAGGAGTTCGTAGTTTCACCAAATGTCAGTTATCAAAACCAGACACAAACTCAACCAACAGTTTTGCTCAAAATTCAGTATATATGTAACTCCCTCTAAACCCCTTATACTAACCTCCAATGATACAGTAAAATAAAATCCTCAACAAAAAAAAAAGTACATCACTAATTCTCCAAAACTTTAATAATAAAAAAAACAATTTGGTTTTGACAAGAGTTTGTTATACTGATTCTCTATATGAGCTTCTTCTTCTGAAAGTAACGTCTCAAATACCACAGTTGCAACACCGAAACAGAAACACAGACGCCAAGCGACATTATACTCAGCCAAGCAACTCTTCCATTAGTTGCTTCACTAACTTCCCTCATCTCCGATTCCCTATACCATTGTCCAAGAAAAGAAAAAGTGAAAATGAACACGAGACACATGACACTTATCGTAGAGAAATCAGATTTTACCTGTTCTTTAAATATATTAGATTTTGATGAATGGCTTCCACTGCTCCATCAAGTTTCCTTAGCTCAAGTTCAACTCCCTTAAGCCATTGTGCAAAACAAGTATCATTTAACACCTCTATTTAAACAAAGATATTACAAAAGCAAAGATAGAGAGATTGAGTGAAATTTATTTATCACCTCAATTTTTTCTTTTTTTGCAACAGAGTCCCAATCTTTGGCAGAGATTCCAGTTTTCCAATCAAGGCTGATTGAGGTACCATCTACATTTTTACTATCCATCCAAAAGCATGCTATGTAGCTCCCACTCTCAGTAGTTGTAAATGCAAATTGGCCTTGGGTGACATTTTCATTGTGGTGAAGATTATTTCCATATGGAGATGTTACCTGGGATAAAGGGGCAGGCATGTATTACAACTGTGTTAATTCATTACCTGGGATGTTACCTTGACTTAATCACTTTGTCTTTACATGATTTGTGTTTGAGGGACTTTTGTACCGTCATCTTTTTTCACTTAACCACTTCGCCCCTTGCAAACTTTGCACTTAGGAATTTTGAATGATAGGATTTCACCCTTAACCTCTTTGACTACTCACAGGCCTCATGCTCGAGGGTCTATGAACTTTCGTGTTTTTTGACTTAATCACGTCGCCCTTATAGGTCTCGTGCTTTATGGACTATAAACCGTCATGTCTTTTGACTTAATCACTTCATCCTTACGGGTCTCGTACTTGAAGGACTGTGGACCGGTATATATGTAATGGCCCAAGTCCAATTTACATAAACTAACATGACTCTTTAAGACTAGAGCACACTAAGCCCTTGGAGCATACTCAAAATGGAATGAGCGAGTTAAAGTCGATGTTGAGACATATCAACCAAACTCACCGTTATGAAAGAGGAGTGAGTTCATCCGACTATGAGGTTAGCTTGAACCTGAGTTAGGGGATTGACTCAGCTTTGCTTGTGACAGCTACAACTCAACGGTTTGAATAGAAGTTACATAATAACAAGGATGTAACAGCCATAACGGCCAAAACCAAGAAAGCATGAGAAAAGAGATATGGTTATAAATACATTAGACGAGAACAAAAAAAAGACATCGCTTATTCAGATATTGATCATATTGAGACTTTGCTTGTACATGACCGTGTGCCTTTTAGCAAGTACAACTATCTACATTATTTTTCAGTCTTAATCTTCACAATAGCAGTGTTCTCGCTATCCGTTAAGCTACTAGAGCATTTTGATTGCGCAACTATCCAAGATTAACAACTTAAAAATATAAGTATGTGCCCATGTCGAATCTTATTGAAGTCTAAAAGAATTTTAGTTGTGTTATTGGAACAGCCAAACTTTTGCATGTGAGAAATTCAATAACCACAAAAGTAACATTCATTAATCACAAATTTAAATGTGACTAAATCATATTTAATCAATGCTGAAATTCATATGTAGTTGACCCCGGAAAATTTATGGATAACCACTAAGTTTATATCCTAATTTTACACCATTAAGTTTCAAGAGCAAGGAAGAAATTTGGTCTTAAATTTGTCGATGGAGCAACAAATTAGAGTTAGAAAATTCAACGTCTATGCCAATTTGGTCCTAGATTTATCCTTATTAGCCTCATTATCATATTCATAATCTTAAGCTAAAGATTTCATAAGCATAAACAGGCAATTAATTTATATTAAACAAAACTAAGAGCATACTTTGACGAAATTAAGCATTAAGTTCAAACAAAAAAACAAAGAAAAGGATTTACATAAGGTAAAACATACCTTGACCGAAATAGTAGGAAGTGGATGACCCTTGATATTATCGGCAACAACATAGTAATCCGCTAAAACAACGACGTGTGTTTGGATTTCCTGCGACACACACTTAGTTCCTGAACTGGGGAGAGTTAACCAAAGGGCCTTAGTTTGAGGGAGGTTAAAGAGAGAGATGAAGCATAACAGCAAAACCAGAGCGGCTTGGGTTACAGAACTTGGGTTGAAGCTTTTTGCCATTTGTGAAAGACACGTTGACCGTGGAATAAGATAACTAACACATTCAGATCTAACAGAGAGAATGAAACAAAGTTGGCGTGTAAGAAAAATATTCTAGTTTTTATGAACCAAGATTCTTTTTATCTTTTAGTTTGAGTTCAATTTAAAAACAAATTAAAATAAACACACCAGTTCTACTAAAATAAAATCTCACACCCCAATACTACTAATAAGCACCTGAGTCCCAAAAGAACTTTGTTATATGCTCTCCCCAAAACATTAGTGAACCAACATAAATTCCCTACAAGATAAAGATCCAAAATTAAAAAATAAAATAAAAAAACAACACTATGAAATCCCGACATAGCTGCAATTGAAATCTGAATGACGACGTGTAAGAATAAAATTTAATTTTAGATCTGGTATTAAGTTTTGATGATAACAATATATTATTTCTTAGAAAATAATTTTATACTCTATTGGTTTTGTCTAGTGTGTAGCTGAACGCGCACGTGCTAACTCTGAAGAAGTGGTGTGTGATGTCATCAATTTCTGTACTCAACACATTCTGACTCTGAAGAGATACAAAATGTGATTTATAAAGAATTTATCAAGTCTGGAATGCTCTTAAACAACGCTTCTGAAGAACGTTCATCAAATAGCTTATGACTTTGACTCTGATAAAAAGAGCTTCTGAAGTTTATCAAGCTTTGATGATTCTACTCTTCACAATTTTGTAGTTCTGAAGGCTCTGAAGACCAAAGTTCTAAAGACTTTGAAGTTACAGTTTTTGATCATTCTAAACATACTTCATCAACACACATTATGAAGCCTCTGAAGATTAGAAGATAAGATCAAAAAGATTTTACATGAGAAATAGCACATAGTACAAGATCAAATATTCCTTCGACTACCTCATTTTATGGAGAAAGAACAGTACTATTATACCATTCCTGATGATCGTTATACAATTGAAATTTGAGAAATTATATTTTCACCCTTCAACAAATCTTTATTGGTTTATATAAAGAAGACTTGGAAGAATGGAAAAATATTTTTTAGCACAACGATCTTTTGGAAGACTGAATGTAGCTTCGTTAACAGCGAACTAGGATAAGAATATTTTGTTCATTATTTTTATTCAAAGTTCTTTGTCTTGGATAGTGAAAAAAGTTACATTCTAGAAACTCAATTAAAACTCCTATTTCTTGTATTTCTTTAACCTTCAATTGGCATCAGAGCTCTTGTTCTAGTATTGTTTGTTTATCAAACACTTCCCTATGTCAGATAAAGATCCAGATTCTTTTTGAAACACAATGGCAAAAAAAGATGAAAATATCATAATGAGTATTTCTCAGAATGGTGAAATGAGACTCTGGGATTTATAGGCTCTGAAATGTGAGTTTTCTGAAGTTTAAAGGTCTCATGCCTCAGAAGCGTCCTTAGTCAGAAGCTTTCTTAAAGCTTTATCTTCTGGATTCGGAATAGTTTTACTTTATTAATTACTGTCAAACAAGCAAAAGGTTTGTGGTTCAAAATAAAACAGTTGTCTTACTCTGAAACACGTTAAACGCTTGAGTTGACACGTTGAGAGAAATGATTTATATTGGGATTAGGTAAAATCTCTCACGCCTCACCCATGTCGAATTTTTGCACTATTAAAGATTTTCTTTTAATCATTGCAATTAATTTTTTACTTAAACCCACTTCACTCACTTTTCACACACTTCACCCTTCATCCCACACTTTCTATTTTTCAAACCCCTATATTTTTCTCTACAATCAAACCCTCATTCTTGTTCACCATGGTTGATCAACAACAACAAGTTTCATCGGTTTAACAACAATGTGAAACTTCAACGTCTCAAGAACAACAACATCAACAAGAACAACAAAAAGTAGGATTTCAAGAACTTCAGTTGTCTACACCAGGTAATGAATTGGAAGTTCTCAGTGAGTTGATTGTAGATTTTGAGAATCTCAAAGAAAATGGATTTGATCTTACTGGGGATATAAAAACCTAGGGTTGGGTAATATTCTTCAACCGTCTCAAAGGACTTATTTACCATGAGTTGGTTAAGCAATTCAGGGTGTTTGCTACTGAATCTAAGTTGCAGGTTTCTTCTTTTGTATTGGGAACAAAATTTGTATAATTGAGAGGTCTACTGCTCGGCTTCTAAGTCTTGATGGCTCTGGGAAGAGATGTTATGAAATGTCTTCAAACAATTCAACAATGAAGTAGATTGTTGCAAGAATTTTTCAGAATGGAAAGAATTCTAAGATTGTCAAGGATCTTCATCCAAGACTCAGTGTATGGTGTCAGATTATTCTTGGTTGTATCCATCGTAGACCTTTAAAAAATTCACCTAACTATATCAATGTTGATCAGAAGTACATGTTATATTATCTGGCTTCTGGGTTAAAAATAAATCTACCTTCAATACTTTTCAAGCATCTGAAGGATATGATTAAAGAATCTAGGAATGGTGTTCTGAATATCAGGAAGTGGGACACCTCTAGGAAGATTGATTTCATACGCTCTTATTAAAAGTAAATTGGTGGAATCTTTGCAAGATCGACATCAGGATCATAGTCTTGATAGAGAAATTGGTTACATATGTTGGAAGATCTTTCAATGAGAGAAAACTAAAGAATATGTCACTAATATTTGCAGGCATTGATCCTGAAGTAGCTCTGAACACAGAAGCAGTATACTCCATGAGGAATATAGTTGTTGACTACCCTATATTTTTCATGGATGACCTTCTTGATGTTGTGTTATCTTATCTAGAAATGTGTGTGGATCATGGTGAGAAACCTAGTGTGTCCCCTGGTGTTATTCAAAATCTTATTAGAAACTTTCCAGGACATCTTTCTTAAGTTGTTCTCAAAAGTATTTTTGTGGGTTCTTCTGAATCTGGTTGTCTTGACGACCTTCCAGAAACTCCTATTAAACCTCTTGTCTAGAAGAAAAGGAAGTTAATTGGTTATGGTCCTTCTGGAACTGCAAAGTCTCCAGCCAAGAAGGCTAAGATTTCTGATTCTGCAAGAAGACCTCTGGAAGTTATTCCAAACATTGATGTTGATGGTTCTGAGAGCCCCAAGATTATTGAAGTTCCTCCTTTTGCACATCCCACTGCAAGTAAGTTTATTTTTGCTGAGACTTCTTTTCCTTTAGTTCAAAATCTTAATAATAATTCATTTCCATCTCCTTTGTCTCAACTACCACCACCATCACAAACTACTTAGACTGCTACACTCCCACCACCACCTCAAACTACTTTTGGAACTATTTCCAAACCTCAACGCATTATTCCATATGAAACCACTCAACCATCTATTTTTGAACCTCAACCTCAACCATCAAAAATCATACCACCAAATCTCCAACCTTTCACATCCACTATAATTGAAAAAACTCCACCACAAATTCCTCTATCACTTTTATTCCAAATCTTACAAGAAGTAATTCCAACTTAAGAACAACAACCAAATGGCCCTACTTCACCACCACATGAAACCACTCATCCAAATTATGTTGACACTCTTGTTTTCAACACTCTTGTGAATCAGATTTTGAAAAATCCTCCCTCACCTAATTCCTTTGATAAACCCGTTAAAATTTCATCAGATGATGAAGTTGAAATCACTCAAATCATCTCTTATGACCAAGCTTTCTTAAAAACAATATCCTTCCACCACCCAAACCATATATGGATGAATTATTGTTACAGTTTGAATCTAAAGCACATGAATGTCTACACTCTTTGACGCAAGTTTGCACATATTGTGTAAACCCTGCTAAGAGTGATGCACTATGGACTAGCTTCAGAATATGGATGAATTCCCGCTCCCTGGAATTAAAAGAGATTTTTTTTAAGGATGCTCAGAAAAACTTCCATGGAAGACTTTTAGGAGTCATACAACATCTTCTGATGTTATGTCAATCGTGTTTTCTCCCTGCTCCTGAATCAGAACAAGTTTTCTCTTAGTCATAGATTCATATTGAAGATGATCCTACTTCTATATAGCAGATTATTTCTTCAACTCTTGCTTCTGGACCAGCTTATGAGATCGTTTCTACTTCTGGGATTGTTCCGAGAGAGATTGTGATGATATTTTTTCTTTCAAACCGTGTTGCACATTCTCTTTGTCCTCTTTAGACCAATCATTTTCAGGTTTATCAACTAAAACACCATCAATATTATGTATATGGACAAATGGTCCTTCTTTTATAGCCTTCCAAATACCATGATTCATTCACTTTATGAAAATTTTCGTTTTTTTTCTTTCCACAAACTATAACCTTCTCCATTGAAGGATGAAAATCTGTTTAGTGAATATATTTAAGAAAAATTTTCCTCTTGAGAGGATTAGTCCTTAATAAGAGTTAGGCTCTTATTCCACTTGTTAGACAAGTAACTACAAGGACGAAAGGGGGTGAGTTGTGGTTGTTGGCATTCGTCATTAATTTTTTATCGATTAAGATTGTGTTAGTAGTTTCTTGAGAGTATACTGTAACGGAATAAAAACAAAGAGTAGAAATTTAAAGAGAGTAAGGGTTAGAGAGATTGAACTAGAGAGTTATACAGGTTTGGTTGAATGTTGGACTAGTTATGTCCCCAAGAGGTATTCTTGAGATTTTAAATATAAACTTTTGAGCTTTTATAATTTATGCCCACGAACCTAAATACAAGCTGATTTTTACAGGCTTACCCCCAATCAAATATAGTTTTTACCCCGGGCAAAGCTAACGAACCTTCTTAGATATTTTCAGGATGATTTAAATAACTAAAGTCGGTAGCAAGTAGCTTTTCAACCTTGATGATGGTGATCTAACCAAAAGAAACATCACATACCTTATAAGTAAAAGGAGACTCAAGACCAAAGTGCTTAATGATCAGAAGGAATCTAGCAAAGATTCTTGAAGTCGTGTGAAAGCTCTATAGGTAATGTCAGTCTCTCTGGGTGATTGATAAGTGACAATTATGACTATAATTCCACATGAAAACTTGGCATTTTAGGCTCCATTTTATGTTTTTGATCATTGATTTTCCCAAGTTTTTCTAGAATGTAACTTTAAGTGCATTTAGTTGTGGTGTCTTTAATGTGTGTGTTAGTATGCAAAAAATGTTAGAACAATAATTGGTTCTGCATATAATCTATGAGTTTTGATGAAAACAATACACATATTTTATATGTAACAATTGTGGACTCTAATAATTCTTTAAGTGTGTAGATAAAACATTCAAATTGATTCAGGATTTTTGTCTGAAGAATCATCATAAATGTGTTTAGCTCGCCTTAGAAAGACTATTGCATCTGGTTCTGATGTAACATCAGTAGTTCAAATGAATGTTGAATGTTCTCCAGAAAAAGAATTCATGCGTACTTATCCAAATAAGTTTTTGCTTCAGATGTCACGAGTGTGTCTAGATAAAGGATCTCCATGTATGAAGATCAAATATCAATCTTTTGCTTCAAAGATCAGATATCAAGCTTTTGCTTCAATAATTAGATATCAAGCTTTTGCTTCAACGATCAGATATTAAGCTTTTGCTTCAACAATCAGAAATTAAACTTTTGTTTCAACAATCAGAAATCAAGATAAAGTACTTCTCAGATAAATCTTTTGCTTACATATTAGATATCAAGAAACTGTTTTTCAGATAAGTTGTTGCTACATGTCTGAAGACTAGGTTTCTGATTCTGAAAGACTCTGATACTTTTGAGAACATTACAATGAATTATCTTCTGGAATACTTATCACTTCTTATCATAATCATTCCATCAGAAGATTAAAGAACAGAGACGCGATCTCTTATGTGCTCTCTTTCTACTTCAGATCAGACGTATATCATTAGAAGAAAATATCATAAACTTACACTAGAAGTAAACAGTACAAAAGTACAATGCATTTTCTGTTATTTTTGGAGAACACGGTGTACGAAAGAAGTTTTAGTGTGCTCTTTGTCTCCCACGATCATATGCTACTGTTATAGCAGGAGGCTTGGTGAAAGTGACGTTTTCCAATGGTCTTCTTTTCTTAACCTATATAAAGGGATAACTACTTCATTTGAAACTAACATTGGAAACAATTCAACTTAAAACATTCACGAAAAACAATTGAAGTATCAAAAGTGAAGTTAGTGTGAAAGAAAACAAAGAGAGAAAATATTCAAGAGATATTCAAAAACACAAAAAGTTGTTGCTTAATTTTGTGTTAACTATTCATTCTCTATAACACAAGATTTGTTGCTCATTATTGTGTTATTTTATCTTTGTTGTATACACAAGAGTTATTGCTCATATTTGTGTGTAAACATTTGTTCTTTATTGTGGTGTTAAATCTTCTTTTTAGAAGCAATCTTATATACACTGTTTGATTGTAAATCTTTCTAGATTTGTTTCCTCAAGTGACTAAGTTGTAGTCATAATTACTTGAGAGGGCTAAGGTGTTTTTCTAAACACTTAGACATTTTTGTAATCTTTCTGGATTATTAGATTAAGTTCTTTTCTAAGGCGAAATCACCTTGTCGGGTGGACAAGATTATCCTTTTCTAAGGAGAACTTGTATAAACTAGTTGTGTCACTTTTATTCATGTCTTACTTATCATAGTTCGTTTGTGAGAAGCATTCACAAAAGAAATAGTTTTGAAAACCCCAATTCAAACACTCATTTCTTGTGTTTTATCAACCTTCAACTGGTATCAGAGCTCCGACTCTGTTATTGATTTTCAAATCAAATACTTAACCGTGTAGAGAGATCCAGTGTGAGAAAAACTTCTATGGCTACTTATCATACAAACGAAAGAGATGGTTACAGTACTAAACCTCCTATTTTTTATGGAGAGAAATTTGACTATTAGAAAGATAAACTAGAAAGTTTCTTTCTAGGCTATGAGGTTGATCTTTGGGATCTTGTCGTATTTGGTTACAAAGAACGTGTATTTGTGATTGGTATTCTCATTCCCAGAAACAATATGGATGATGATCAAAAAAGTGTACTCAAGATTCATCATAAATCTAGAACCATTCTTTTCAACTAAATATCTTACAATGAATATTAAAAGATCACTAATAGAGAATCATCAAAAGATATTTTTGATTCGTTGAGAATGACACATGAAGGTAAAACTCAAGTCAAGAAGACTAAGGCTCTAGCCTTAATCCAAAAATATGAAGCCTTCAAGATGGAATAAGATGAAACCATTGAAACCATGTTCTCGAGGTTCCAAACTTTAGTCACAGGACTTAAAAATCTGGACAAAGACTATTCTATAGTTGGTCATGTTAACAATATCATCAGAAGCCTTCCTATGAAATGGAGACCTATGGTCACTGCTTCAAAGTTTTCTAAGGATACAAATAACATATCTCTCAAAGCGTTGTTTAGCTCCCTTAGAATTCACTAAATAGAGATAGAGGAAGATGATCCCCAGAAAAGATAGAAGTTTGTTGCTCTAAGATCAACGTCAGAAAGGACCAAGTCAGAAAAGTGTAAAGCCTTCTAATCTGAAGAAGTAGAAGATTCTGAAGATGAGCCTTTTGATGATAAAAATGAATTTCCCCTTCTTTCCAGAAGAGTCAAAAAATTTTGGAAGAAAGGACAAAATAACTTCTGAAGACCCAGAAGCAAAGAAGATCATTCAGAATCATCTACAAGAGGAAGAGTAAGCAAATAAGTTACTTGCTACAAGTGAAAATAGCTTGGACACTACATAAATGAATATCTAAAGCTTCAGAAATAAAGCACCGGAAAAGAAATCCTAAAGAAGAAAACTTTCAACAGCAAGAAGAAAGATCTCATGGCAACATGGGATGGATCAGACTCTGAAGAATCAGAATCTGAAGAGGAGCGTGCTAATGTAGCACTCATGGCCACTACCTAAGATGGAAACGCATCAGAAATTGAGTTTGACTCAGAAGAGATATTTTCAGAACTCTCTCGTGCTGAATTAGAATTATGTTTATCTGAATCTCTGAGTAGGTATCAGAAACTTCAATAAAAATTTAAGAACCTTAAAAAAGTTCATGAATATGAAGTTGAAGAATATGGTAAGCTAGAGAAAGAAGTTTCTGAATAAAAAGGAGACATCTTTATTTTACAAAAAGAAAATGTCTTTCTGAACAAGAAATGTTTAAAATTTGAAGAAACTCTTTCTAAAGCACCTTCATCTTCTGAAACTGCCGTATACAAATATGATAAGGCATTTCAGAAATTCTTGAGCAACAACATAGATAGAAGCAAAATGGCTTCCATGATCTATGGTGTTAGTAATTATGGAAAAAGAGGAATTGGTTATGATTCTGATGAAGATATTCAGGACGACAAACTTTTTTCTCTGTTTTCTTATCTCTACCCTTCATCACAGACATAAATAGTGAATGTTGCACATAAACTCAAGTTTATTAGAAACTCTAGGAAAAATAATTCTGAAGGACCCAAAAGATTATGGGTACCAAAAGATAAAATAGTGTATGTTGCAAATATCATATGCAACATAGTTGAAACATCAACCATGGTACCTAGACTATGGATGCTCACAATACATGATGGGAAGAAAGCATATGTTCTAAAGCCTGAAACTTAAAGATGCTGGATTCATTGGTTTCTGTGGAGATCAGAAACGAAAAACAAAAATATCTGGAACAATTGGTTCTAGAAGAAAGACTAATGGTTATGAGGATAAAGTTTCCAATAGAAAGAATGTTTTTCAGAAGTATCTAAATTTTCTTCAGTTCAGGAAAGTCCAGTCTTATCTGAAGAAGTGACTCCAAGAGATATAGCTAAATTGTGAGAACAAGATTCATTCAAAGCTATTTGAGGAAATACTTCCAGAAGTAAAATATCTATCTAAGTCAAGAAGTTTTTCAGAATAATGAATGGTTTCTGATATTGCTAGAAAAATTCATCAGAAATAAAGAAAGGGAGAAAGTTAATGTCTTCAAAAATATAACACGACATGTTAGAATTTCTCATCTTTTATTC